TTCACTGTGGTAGAATACACATAACGTAAAATTTACCATTGGACCTAAATGTACAATTCAGTGGCATGAAGTACTCACAGTATCGTGCAGCCATTACCACTATTCGTTTCTAGAACTTTTTCTTCCCTGACAAGGATTTGAGAGCAAGCAGCAGATGGGGGAGGTGACCCCTGGGGTAGGGACAGGGCAGTGAGAGAAGGAAGAATAGGTGGGCTATAAAGTTCAGTTACCACTGTAGAGACCGGAGCTCCCTGGAGACTCTGAGAGTCAATGGAGAACATTCTGGAAGAGCCATTCCTCTTGAGGGGTAAGAGAGCTGAGGCGTTTATGTACTAGCTCCCACGTCTTTGCTTGAGGCCTGCTGGGGGAGAGGTGCTTGTAATCTGGCTACCAGAGAAAGCCTCAGGCAGTTGGAAGTTGGACCCTGCACTGGATGGTGAGGCCCAAGGGCTTCAGAGCATCTGTCAAAGAGAAGGTATCATTTATGGCTGAGTAAATATGATCTATTAGTTAACTCCATAAAACTTGATTGTGTATTCAGTGAAGTACTAACTGTTAATTGCCAATTTGGGGGATTTTTCATACTGAGGTGCCTCATTGTTGCTGTATGCATGCTTGTAGGGGTAGGGGGTTGGAATTAGGGGTGGGGTGAGAGGTGGGGGAGTAGATTAGGATTGGGACAGGGTTTGGGGCCACTGACTCTGCTTCAACCATGGCAGCTCCTTTAAAAAAATCTGTTTTCTATATTGAGCTTCTGTTTTCACTAGAAGAAAGAATTCTGCTTCACAAAATACATTTGAAACCCATTGGCACAGGATACCATCGATCTGTAGAAAAATTAGGGTTGACGGATGGCATTTCTGCTTAAAGGACCTTTTCCAGGAATGGAACCCACTCTAAACACAAGAACTGCCACTATTCATTTAGAAACCTCATTTGCCTTAGAAAAGAAAAACAGTGTTCATTTTTCTTTAATTTGGGTTAGCACACCAAGGATAATTAAAAAGTAAGAATCTGTTCATAATAACGTGCCAGTCTTTTTTCAGCCCTAGGGAGCTGTCTTGCTCTCTCACTGGATGGTATGGAGCGTTGATGGTGTAGGAAATCAAATAAGGGCTGACGTGACTTGTTGAATGCCCCAGCCCCACAGAGAAGACAATCAATATTTATGTTCTGGGTGTGACTGTGGCCAGCCTGGGGCAGGGCCAAGAGCAGCGGGCTCTGTCCCAGAAAAACTGGGCTCTGATCCCCGCTTTGTCACTGAATCACTTTATAATCCAGGACAATTCCTTGAACCACTCTGTGCCTCAGTTTCCTCATCCATGGTTACACCTGACTTATTTATACTTAATGGAGAAGTAGTGAAGTTCAAAGGAGGTAGAACAACACATGTGAACACTTTGGGGAAAGTCCCACACAATCTAATAATGCTAATTATGATTCCTGGCATGGTTCCTTTATTCAAAGACTATCAGGATTTTGTAGATATTTAGACTGGCTCTCCTTGATTTTTTTGAACTTTTGACTCCCATTTTGTTTTCCTGTGTATTTTACTTTTCTCCCTTCTAGAACTGGTTGAGGGTAGAAAATTGCCTCATTGAAGTGAATTAAGCAGACAGGGACCTCCTCTCAAAAGATTATTTTTTAAAAGCTAGGTCAAAGTAGAGGGGATAAGAAGTATGACAGTGGTCTGGGCTCCAGGACTCTGTGGGTTCACACCCACGTGTGGGTGTGCCCGGCTAGTCTCTGCCCAAGTAGCTCCAAGCTGGGACGGGTGCTTCCACTGCTCAGGTGTCACCAAGAGAGCCTAAGGATGTGAGAAATACCTGTGTCACAGAGAGACCAGGAAAGCTGGTTTAGTCCCAGGACCATGCACTACACCTGGAACTGGAGTCTCTAGAATAGGAGAGCTTGTGCCTGCACCAACCAACCAACCTTTTTAATATTCTCTGTGCAGAATGTTTGCCACACACTCGCCATATCCTGTTCTTGCACCTGTTCTTTCAGACTGTTCTAGTTTACCCATGTTCCCTTATCAGCTGACTTCTGGCTTTGGGAAGCCACCTATGCCCCTGGACTCCCTGAACTTCCTGCCACGTCCATCCCATAGAAGAGGAGAGGCAGAGGAAGAAGTGGTACCATGAGGATAAGTGCAAGTCCCCCGGGGTACCTGGAGCTTACACCTCTTTCCAGAGGCCCTGCCCCAGGGCAGCCAAGGGGACCCTATGACAGGAGCTCACCTGGCTTTTACACTTCCTTAAAGAGGAAGCTGGTGTGGGCACTCACAGATATTTTATTCTACTCATCAGCAGGAGCTGTTTTTTGTGTATAGAACGCAGGGGTTGAAATCTAGGAAGGAATAACCACTGGGCAGGGCTAAGCCAGTAAAAAGATCAGGTTAAGGCTTTGCAGGGCAAAGGAACAATCTACCTTTCCGAACCTGTGGGGTCTAAAACCACCCATCAGCCTTGCAAGTCACAAAATCTTTCACAGGCCTGACGGACCTCCTTTCATGAACTTGCTGTGGATTGCTGTCAGTTGTGGCCCGCTCACCCATCACCCTATCATGATTAAGGGACTGAGAGGCAGTGTGAATAGTGGTGAAGAGCCTGTTCTTTGGAGCCTGGATTCAAATCCCAACTGCCCCACTTAG